AAAGGAGGCCTGGGAAGTAAATTTTGAATACATGTATGTACAAAAAAGTCTTTATTATGGTCTTACATATGAGTTATAGATTGAGGATAAAATTCTAGTTTGAAAATAGTTTTCCCCTTTAAATTCTGAAAGCATTCCTGAAAGTTTTATTTTCTAGCTTTGCTGTTTAGAAGATCACTGCAACTATGATTCCAAGTTCTTTCAATGAATTATGTTTTTGTTTTGTTTTCTCTCTGGAATCTGTTCATACATTTTCTTAATGTCTGTTATTCTCATATTACATTATAATGTACATTTTTTGTGGGGATATTTTCATTCATTTGTTTAGCATTCGATAGGCCTTCTCAATTTGGAAACTTTTATCTTTTAGTTATGAGAATCTTTTATTATTTTAAAAATAATTTCCCCCTCTATTTCCTTCTCTAATTTTCTGGAATAACTGTCATCATTTGACTTTGCAGATAAGTATACTTTCTGGCAAATTTCCTTAACTTTATTTTTCAAATCTTCCATAAAATTTCAGGGTAGATATGATATTTTTAATTTCCAAGAGCTCTTTCTTATTCTCTGACTTTCACTTTTATAATTCTCTATTCTTTCCTATGAGTGTAAAATATCTCTATCTGAGAAAATATTATCTTATTATTATTTTTTTTTAGTTTCTTCTGCTTTCTCTATTGTCTTTGTCTCTTTTTCATGTTGAACACTTTCCTCAAATGTCTGATGGTCCTTAGTTATTCAGTCATATGTAAAAGTGACAAATTAAAAACTCATTAGAGGTTGGGTATGGTAGCTCACTCCTGTTATCCTAGCACTTTGGGAGGCTGAGGCAGGAGGATTGATTGAGGCCAAGAGTTCAAGGCCTATCTGTGCAACATAGTGAGACCCCTATCTCTACAAAAAGATAAGACAAATTAGCTAGGCATGGTGGTGCATGCCTGAAGTCCCTAATACTCTGAAGGCTGAGGCAGGAGGATTGTTTGAATCTCAGAGTTGGATGCTACATAGAGTTATGATTGTGCCATTGAACTCCAGCCAGGGAAGCAGGCCAAGACCCATCTCTAAATAAAAAACAATACATGAATAAATAAATACTAATTAGAAGTTCAGCATGGAGAGCTGAGGCTTGTGCACTGGTGACTTTACTGAAGGAAGATTGGAGGTATTATCAGGGGCACCCAAATATGATTGTCCATTAATGTTTTACTGAGATCATTTAGTTTACTCAGAGATTAAATCTTCCAGTTTCCTGGGAGTAGAGGTGGGGGAAAGGATACCACAGTTCGGAGGGAATATTTTCTTTGAATCTCCCTAATTTTATCCCTTAATCTTATGTATCTGGCTGCTCTAAAACTAGAGACTTAGGTGGTATTTTTATTTTAACTGATACCTTCAGTGTGAGCAATGTTGAATGTGTGAGCCTTATCTGACTGGTTATAAACAAATGAGAATTAAAAAAATGTCAATAATCTTTGTCCGTCTTCAAATTTCCTATCTGGGGCTAAGTAGGAGCCAGCCACAGGTGGGCTTGGTCTTATGGTAGCATTGTCCTAAGGGTCACGGGTCAAAGGAGCATGTAGGAATTATTATGCCTCACTTTTCATTATTGAAATGGTAGTGAAGTGAGAGTTATTTATATCCTACTGTTCAAGGTCATCTCTGAGGCCTGATTTTTCACACATGTCTGCCTCCTGAGGATATATGTGATCAGGTGGTCCACAGAATTAGTACTGCTGCAAATACTGGGAGCTGTCAAAAAATGATGTGAATTTTCAGACAAGTTTTGAAGAACTATCCAAAGACAGATAAATACAACTTTGCTGCATTGCATCTTACACTAGTAATTTTTTTCTACTATTGTCTACTATTTATGCCATTTTACTGTAAAATGAAATACCAGTTATTCTTATTGTATTAGTTATGGATTTGATATTTTGCATGTTCCAGTTTTGAAGCACTAGGCAAGACATTACCACTAGGGCTACAGTGTTAGTCTTTTCCCCTATTTTTAGTTGAAATGATTTTACACGCTTCAAGATGCCTCAAACTCTAAGTTTACATGAAATAAATGACCTGTTAGAGACAGATAACAGCATAGAAGCACGTGCTATCAGGATACAACCACCTGAAAATGCTATAGCACCTGTTTCTGATGAGGACTCAGGAGATGAAGAAGGTCCCCAAATAAATAATCTGCCAGGTTCTTTCTTGGGCATGCCTGCATGTCTTATTCAAGATGGCTACAATGCTGAGTCCAACTCAGATGTCCCTCATATGCACTGGAAGATGACTCTCTTGACGATGAAGTTCCGTTTATATCTACTGTGCCTCAGCCTCCTCCATCAAAGAGAAAGTGACACAAATGGAAAAAAGCTAACCTAACTGCACAGCCTGTAGCAGGTAGAGTTACAGAACCAGCAAAAGATTTCTTCACTAAAATGAGAACTCCCATAGAAATTCTTGAACTTTTTCTTGATGTCAAGGTTGTTGAACTCAGTGTCATATACTCCAACTTATGTGCTATAAGGAAGGGCATAAATCTTGACTTGAATGTTTTCTGGGAATTATTTTTCTGAGTGGTCACATCTCAGTTCGTAGAAGGTGTATATAGATGTGTACAATATACTCATTAGTGCTGCTGGGAAACATGACCACTTTGAAGTTGTATTTTCTAATTTGCATGTTGCTAACAATGCAAATTTGGACTCAATAAACAAGTTTTCCAAGTTGCAACCTTTTATATGCACACTCAATGAGAGATGTATAAAATTTGTTCCAAATGAAACATAGTTTAGCTTTGATGAATGCATGGTTCCTTATTTTGGTCATTACGGGTGCAAACTATTTATTAGAGGAAAGTGCACTCGATTTAGCTGTACCTTTTGGTGTAGTGCAACACGTCTGGTTTCAGCTGTATAAGGTTCATCATTTGTCCTTCAGTTTAGTGAGACACTTACCAATGCACACCTTGGACAATACCATTTTGTATTCAATAACTTTTTCACCAGTACTGTATTTCTTGATAAGCTCAGTTCAATAGGCACAGTGAGAAGGATCACCTTGACAAAGCTCCATTGGAATTAGATGTAGCTCTGAAGAACAAAGAATGAGGCACCTTTGATTATCGAATTGATAGTAAAGGCAATATTGTCTGCAGATGGGATGATGACAGTGTTGTCACTGTTGCCTCATCTGGTGCTGGTATCAGTCCCCTGTGTCTTGTCAGTTGTTATTCCCAGAAACTGAAAAAGAAGATCCAAGTTCAAGCAGCCAGACATGATCAAAGCATATAACCATTTTGAGGGAGGTGTAGATAGAGCTGATGACAACGCTGATAAGTACTGGGCATCAATCCATGTAAAGAAATGGTGTTCAAGCTCTCTTCTGTTTTTTTTTTTTTCAAACTGGTCTTGCAAAATGCTTGGCAACTGCATAAAACATGTGATGAGAAGCCAACAGATCTTCTGGAGTTTCATTAACATGTTGTATACCAATATCTGGAGGCCCAGGGTCATCCTCCAGAATCTCACTGAAGAGGAAGATTTTCTCAGAAGCATAACATTGATTCATGTTACGATGATGAGAATGATATGACAGTCAAGCAGGGAAAGCAAACATGGTGTGGTGAATGTCATAAAAGCACCACTTTTTGATGTGAAAAATGTGATGTTGCCTTACATGTGAAGCGTTCAGTAGCCTATCACACTGAGTAGCAGGTGTCACCACCTCCTGAGATAAGAAACGTGATTCTGCCTAGTGTTGCATGTTGGGAACACCACATAACAACAATGGAATATAAGAAATTATTTTTCTTTTCAAATTCTTGTTCCTTCAATTTTGTAGGTAACATACATGAATCTTATGCAAAAAAAAAATCCAATAATTTTAACCTCTGGCATAAATGGCTTAAGCGTGGACTTTGGAATTAGGACAACTTGGGTTTGGGTCTATTTTCTACAACTTTTTAGCTATGGGTATTAAGTAATTTATTTAATACCTTTAAATAAATAAATACCTCAGTTTTCTTTTCTGTCCAATTGGAAAAATTAATATCTCTTAGGGTTATGAGAATTAAAACATTTACGTCACTGAGGGGAGACTCTGACATATGACTAAGCATTCAATAAATAATGGTGATGTTACAATCCTGTTTCAAAAACACATCTGGTTGGTAAGCATTAACTTGATTCCTCTTCTAACTTATTCTGTGGTATTTGATATATCATTGACTCTCTGGAGTCCAAAGGGCCATGAAGACCATCTAGTTCAGCCCCTGCAATCCAGTTCATGAATTATCTTTTGTGCTCTTCCCCACTGAGCAGCTTCATTAAGAACAAGTGGTGAAGTTGAGCTCAGATCTCAGGGCTTCCTGAGCCTGTTTTGTAACCTCCAGAGTGTGCTTCCTCTCCTGAACCGCCTTTGTTCTTTCCTAAGACATTCTAATGGTATTTTCAGCTTACACAGTGATTGATTGCAACTCTGCTTTTCTTTCTACATTGTAGGGCGTGGGGACCAGAGGTCAGTGTGAGGGAGGACTCAGGGTGGTGATGTAGTCAAGTTCAGCCTAACTTTTCTTTGGCCCCCATGAGGAATCTGCATGTAAACAATGGCCACTTCTTAGAGTTAATCGCATCTTCTTATCACAGTCTGTGTAGCAGTCAGGATGACTGTGGCTTGTGTGCAGGTTATTCATGTGCATGTGCACCAGCACACCTGCGGATGCTTGTGGATGTGTAATAAATCCCACTAAACGCATGAGCAAAGAGGCACATGTATGCTCGTGCCATAACTCTACACACACTGGTCTCCAGGAGCACAGAGATCAGCATATTTTAACATGCACCGCCAAGTGGGGAAGGCCATTCAGGACAAGGGAAAGGGAAGATTATGAGGCCAAAAGGGAAATGAAACTAAAGAATCCCACTATGTCAGCATTAACTGAGGTATAAGAAGTGGGCTTTGGACAGACAGACAGACTCCTGGGGCATGTCAATAGCCAAAATGCCCAAAGGACCTCTTCTCTGGCTGGTGATTGAGCTTGGATGGCTTTATCTGAGTAAGTGTCCTAAAGCTGTCCATGTAGGAGACTCTGGTGGACTTGTGACTGTGGAATGAGTTTCTGGGCACTGGTTTGGGCCTCCGTAAAGCAGAAGCCTACTTCAACCTTGTGTCTCTCCCTTCTGCTCTTAGGCTGACTTCTGGGGAGCATCGTTCTCCTGCCTGTCTCCTTACACTGTGTAAGGTTTATGCAGAGACTGGTTTAAGGGTTTTAGGGTGGGGTAATTTGTGCTTATATTGGAAATGATAATTTAAGAGTGGACACAGAATTAGGGGGCTACATAAAGTGAGGAAAAATTTTTCCTCTGTAGATGTTGTGTGCATAGTCAATGTCAGGAGAATTAGTTTTGGAGAGAGGTGAGAGCTGTTCTTATCACTCTTATTATACTGTCTCTCTCTCCCTCTCTTTTTTTGGAGTGTTTGCTTTTTTGCTTTGTTTTGCTAGGGTGAGGATTCTTTTCTTCACATTGTTTCCAGGTTCTGAAAATGCTAATGTATACACTTGGTTTTGGCTAATGCCGTTTTGTGTCCTGGTCATATAGAGCCAAAGTGCAGTGACCTGGGCTCCAGCTGTGTTTCAGGCACTAACTCTTGACACTGGGAATGTGTCTAAATCATTCTGGCTTTTCCAGGTTTGGAATGAGAGACTTGGATGAGACCAGTTTTAACAGTCTGTGATTCTAGGTCTAGGTAATATCTAATTGAATTTTTTAAGTCCATGTTTTTTTACTTGATACATAGTAATTATACATACTTACGGGCTACATGTGATATTTTTTTTTTTTTTTTTTGAGACAGAGCCTCAAGCTGTCCCCCTGGGTAGAGTGCCATGGCATTACAGCTCACAGCAACCTCCAACTCCTGGGCTCAAGCGAGTCTCCTGCCTCTGCCTCCCAAGTAGCTGGGACCACAGGCGCCCGCCACAACGCCCGGCTATTTTTTGGTTGCAGCCGTCATTGTTGTTTGGCGGGTCCGGGCTGGGGATTCGAACCCGCCACCTTAGGTGTATGTGGCTGGCGCCTTAGCCCGTTGAGCTATAGGCGCCGAGCCACATGTGATATTTTGATACATGCAAACAATGCAATGATCAAATCGAGGTAATGGAGATATCTCTCACATCTAACACTTATCACTTCTTTGTGTTGAGAACATTCCACAACTTCTCTTTTAGCTATTTTGAGATACATAATAAATTATTGATAAGTATAGGTACCCTTCTGTGCCATCAAACAGAATTTATTCATTTTCTCTAACTGTATTTTTGTACCCATTAACCAACTCTTCACCTTCCCTTCCCCCTCTCCTTCTCAGCCACTGGTAATCAACATTCTATCCTCTACCTCCCTGAGGTCCACTTCTTCAGCTCCCAGGGATGAGTGAGCACATGTGATGTTTGTTTACATATGAGTGAGAACATGTGATGTTTGTTTCTCTGTGTGTAGCTTATTTCACTCAACCTAATGATCTCCAGTTCCATCTATGTGTCTGCAAATGACAGGGTTTTACTCTTTTATGGCTGAATAATATTCCACCATGAATATACAAAAATTTCTTTATCCATTCATCTGTTGGTGGACACTTAGGTCGATTCCATACGACTATTGTGAACAGTTTTGTGATGCACATGTGAGGCAGACATCTCTTCTATATCCTGATGTCCCTTCTTTTGGACATATACCTAGGAGTGGGGTTGCTGGGTCATATGGTAGTTCTACTTTTAGTCTTTTGAGGAATGATACTGCTTTCCATGGTGGCTGTACTATTTACAGTCCCACCAATAGTGTGTGAGAGTTACCCTTTCTCTGCATCCTCCTCTTCATTTCTTTTCTTTTTTTTGGTCTCTTTGACAATAGCCATTTTAAATGAGGAGAGCTGATATTTCATTGTGGTTTGATTTGCAATTCCCTGATTTTGGTGATGTTAAGCCTTTTTTTTTTTTCAGTTTTTGGCTGGAGCCAGGTTTGAACCTGCTACCTCTGGTATATGGGGCCGGCGCCCTACTCCTTTGAGCCACAGGCACTGCCCAATGTTAAGCCTTTTTTCCCCCTCCCCATATACCTGTTGGCCATTTGCATATGCATGAATCTTTCAAACACGCTGCTCAAGGAAACATCTATATTCCAAGGGAAACAAATGTGTTCCCTCCCCTCTTACACCTGCATCATACTGTTCTTTCTACCTTTCTTTTTCCCATAACTTCATGCATCCCCATGTCCCTACTTAAATTAGGTGTTCCCTGACCGCCCACAGCCTCTGGACAGGTTTAAGTGTTTCTGCGGTGAGCTCTTGCCTGTGGAGTTGCTGCGTCACAGAACTTCTCACCCTATAGTGCTTGCTCACTTTCCCTCTCTCCCTAGCTACTCTGTAGACTACAGGAGGAAAGGTCAGGTACGCTTTGTTTCTTGGATTCCCACACTTGGTTCCATGCTTGTTGCTTAATAGACACCCAAGAAATAATTTGTGGAATGTAAGCAGTCCCTGTCACATTCACACTTTCAGTATGGGTTTGGTATAAGCGCCCTTTTTGTTTGTTGAATGTAAGAAAACTATAGTTTTCTTTTTCATCAATGATTTTTTTTATTGGTCTTTACCTTGTCCTAAAAACGTAAAGTTTGGAGGGTTTTGTTAGGTGGAAAGTTGCTGAAGAGTTTGTCCATATGTCCTGACACAGATTGAGTGGGCTTAATTAACCCTGTTAAAGGGAGGCAGTTTAGTGATATTTTTTTTTTATTTGAACCTCTGCAATTATTAGTTTATTGGTATCACCCCAGACTCAGATGATCAGTGCTCCTTCTGAAATCACAGAAACAAATGAAAATGGAGAGAATCTAAGTCAAAATTATATAATAAAGTAGCGGTCCCTCATAAAGCATGTAAAATTATAAGAATGTTATTTTAAAATATTGGCTCTTTAAGAAAATGATAACTTCAAACACTACAAATTGCCAAGCTGTTCCCTAAACTGCTAAGTAAACATGACTCTAATGAATGAGTTTGGATTTTGGTAAAGAAAAATTAAATTCAAATAAATTGAATAATTTATATTGAGATGCTAACTTCAAGTGCCTTCTCTCTCATCTTGACTTGATTTATAAAAGGGGCAAACCACAATAGAGGAAAATATATTCTAGTTTAAATGTGACACCTTTTTAAAGGCTGACCCAATTAAAAATACTGTTATTGGGGAGTCTCAAGTTTCCTGGGCTGTTTATATTTAGATAAATTGGAAAAAGACCTGTATTTTTAGGTGGCACTTCCTTGAAGTTTTCTTTGAAACTGACATCAACAAAAAATGTAATATGATAGTTTTTTGTTTTAAGCTCATGATTTTGGGGACACACTCTCAGGTCTTCTTTAATGTGGGAACTCTAAACTATTCCTGCCATGATGTCATAAAGGGAGTTAAAGAAGAATGTCCCCAGGTAAAGACTAGAACAAATTTTTCTATTAGTCCTTCAAGGACAGACATTCAAAATGTTAGTTTCTACTAAATCCCTTCTATAAGTAGACTGGTAACTCTTCACTTTGTAACTGTAAGTTGCCGGTATGAAATTTGCTATCAACTGATCAAGAATTTAGAGTTGCAGTGATGGATGAAAACTGTCTCAGTTTGGCTTTTATGACCCTTGTCATGACATCAAGAGCATATAGACCAAATCTTTTTTATCAGCTAACTATATGAAAAGATAAACACTGCCATAACTCACGTGTTCCCAAATGGGCAAAAGCAAGAGACTAGCTTCCTCTCAAGAAGAAAAATTTCAGACCTATGAAAAAGGAAAACAATACTAATTTTAAAAATGGTATTTACTTAGAAGCATTCAGCATGTCAACAAAACAGCTACAATTTTTTTTTTTATAATCACAGAGTGGTATTCTGTTAACAAATATTTCATATAAACAGAAATAGATGCAACAGTTGTTGTATCAGAAACAACTACAGATAAAAAGAACTACCATCCTCATCTGTAACTCGTTCTGCTGTGTACTGACAAGAACCTGCTTTGAATTTCCATGCCAGTTTACAACCCCTGTACTGTACCAGGCCAGGGCTATCTAAAGACATATTTGGTAGTGTGTTAACTATACCATGAAAAGGGTACAGCCCCCCACCCCCCAAAAAAACTTTTACAGCCTTCTATATATTTTTTTCTTTAAAAGGAGTTGTGCACGGTGGGGGGGGGGTGGTTAAAAGCTTCATAGACAAGAAAAAAAAACCCCAAAACAACTCTGTGTTGGAACCAACTTATTAATCATCATAATCTATGTCTTCATCTTTCCCTTCTTTTTTTTTTTTTTTTTCTTTTTTCAGCTTTGGTGACTCCCTTTTTTGGGGCATCAGGCTTTCATGTAGCTTGGTTTGCAGCAATATCCTTTTTGCATTTTTCCTTCAGCTCCACAGCATTCTATTCACAAGGCTTCTTGTCACCCACAGCAGTGTTACTCCACATCTTCCTGTCTCTTTGCAGTATCATCAAGAGATAGGCTGGATGGTCTCCTTTGATTTGGGGTGATACTCAAAACAGAACGAGAAAATGGCCAGAGGAAGCCTCTTGGCTGCACTGGGATCCCTGAACTTTTTTGTTTTAGATATAGGTTTTCATTTCTCTTTATAAAGGGCCTTATCTGTCTTTGCCATGTCTTCCAATTTCCCTTTCTCTTTAGCAAACAAGGCCTTTCACTTCTCTAAGTACTTCTTAAAAACTCTGAGATGCTGGCTGAAGCATCTGGGTGCTGCTGCTTGTGCTCCTTCTGACAAGTTTGCACAAAGAATTCACGTGATGACATTTGCCTCTCTTTTGTCCATAATTGGCTATTTTTCTTCAGTGAGGTCCAGAGTTGTCCATTGTCTGTCTGGTGCTCACTGGCCCCTGTGCTGTCTGTGTAGAGCTCAATGTACAGCAATGACTGTGGGAGCAGGAGCCAGATGCAGCCTCCTCACTCTCTCTGCTCTGTGACCTTATATAACATTACTCTCATTTTTTAAATATATGCCTT